ATAAAGATAATAATTAAGTATTCTGTTAGAACTCAATGATTATCCTAATTATATTTTAGATTTTTTATATTTAAAATGAGATGTTTATCCTATATTTGATTGTGTTTATCTGCAATTAGTTACACGAATTCAGATATGAGATGAAATCGGATATGGATGAAATCGGATAGGGATGAACGGGTTTAAGAGTTTTTAAAAGTTTTAAGAGTTTTTAAGAGTTTTAGCCAAATGCTTTATAATATAGTATAGATAAATTGAAAAAAAAGTTATTGATATTAATATCAAACTAACTATTTAAAATTTCTTCTTTTTTGTGTATTTTATTTAATTATTTTTTAATTTTTTATTTAATAATATAATTTTTTATAAAGATAATAATTAAATATTTTGTTAGAACTCAATGATTATCCTAATTACATTTAGATTTTTTATATTTAAAATGAGATATTTATCCTCTATTTGATTATGTTTATCTACAGTTAGTTACACGAATTCAAAACTAAAGCTTTAATAAGTTGTACTTATGCATAATTTACTTGTAATCTTGAATTTTACGTAATATGAATCAATAAACAGTACTTCATACATAAAAAATGATTTTTAAAACTTTTTGTCAAATAYTTTATAATATAGTATAGATTAATCAAAAAGTCTTGTTAACATAGTGTTTGTTTGTTGCTTTTTTAGGACGATAATTACAACGAATTTTTTAAGATCATATTATGACGTTATGTATTATGGAAACCCAAAATCGATCAATACTGACGTTGTTGCAACATCCTCATAAACGAGTTTTTTTATGAACCTACTGCGTTAGAAATACATCTTTTCATCTGTCGTTTTTAATTTATCTGATTTTTTTTACATAAATATTTTATAAAAAGTAAAAGAAACATAGACATGGAAATAAGGAATCGATTTGAGAGAACAAAACCCTAAAAAAAGGTTTAGTTATTCCAAAGTTTGTAGAGAAAAAAAAAAATATAAAGAAAGTTGAGCAAAAGCCTTAACCAAAGAATATACCATCTTTTTAACTAACGTTGCCTTGAACCTTGATGAAACCCTAATACCATCACCTTTACAACCCCTAAAACACCATTCACAAGGAAAGAACCAAAACCCATTCTTAAATATGATGAAATGAACACAAATCATCTATAAAAACACACACCCATCAACCATACCCTAAATCACACAAACATTCAACCATCTCTCTTGTCCTTTCGAGTTTTTCGAACCCAAGAAAACCCTAAAAAAGATGGCAAACGGGCAAATGAGATCCGTGGCGTCGCTTCTTATGGTCTTGAACTTCTGTATGTACGTTATTCTTCTTGGCATCGGTGGTTGGGCCATGAATCGAGCCATCGACCATGGTTTCATCATTGGTAATACTTCTTCTCTCCTCACGATATCCTCATCTTGTGTACTCAATTGAAAGTAGGGTATGGGAAGGGTATGGTGTGCGCACATATTTCGTTCCCGAGATGTATAGATTCATCTTGTGTGTATGTATGTATAGATTACTGATGTTTTCAAGTGTATGTGGTGTAAACAGGTCCAGGGTTTGATTTACCGGCTCATTTTTCGCCAATTTACTTCCCGATGGGAAATGCATCCACGGGATTCTTTGTAACTTTTGCATTGATCGCGGGTGTTGTTGGCGTTGCATCGATTTTAGCTGGATTTGATCATTATCGCTCCTGGAGTTCTAACAGCAGGCCTGCGGCAGTATCATCTGCTATTATTGCTTGGTCCCTTACTGTCCTAGCCATGGGGTATATATATCTTATTCACACTAAATATTTTTGTGTGTATATATATATAGGGTTGGGTTCACGTGAGACCAGGCTGTTTCCGTGAGACCCGTGAGACCACATTTTTACACTTGAAACTTCACAGCAAAAACACTGTGAAGGTTTAAAAAAGTCGAACCTTCACAGCAAAAACACTGTGAAGGTTACCTTCACAACATTTTGCTGTGCAGTTTCAAGTGTAAAAAGCTGGTCTCACGGATTTCACGAAAACAGGCTGGTCTCACGTGATCCCAAGTCTATATATATATATATATATATATATATAGACTTGGGATCATGTAAGATCAAGGGTTTTTCGTGAGACCCATAAGACCAAATCTCAACCCTTGGATTAGATCTACAATCTGAGAATCTGAACATTCATAAATGCCACGAGACTTCTCAATAATTACAAAATTGTCACCGTGCAACTTTAGATCATTATATCATTGGCTTATAAAGTTGATCAATTAACATAAATTGGTCTTACGGGTCTCACGAAAAACCCTTGATCTCACGTAAATCCAACCCTATATATATATTGACACACACTTTAGTTCTACAATACTAAAAAATGTGTGATTATGATTTTATGTAGATTTGCATGGAAGGAAATCGAGCTCGAAGGCAGAAACGCCCGTTTGGTGAGTTTAGTAATTATTATACGGGAGTAACAAAAATAATCATCTTTGTTGGAGTCCTACATCGGGAAAATACCCTTTTACTATAGACAATGACAGTATCTTCCATCACATCTGATATAAACATGATACTAAATAAGAGACGTGGATGACTTTTAGCGTGATCTAGGTTGCGAGCCAAGTCATTCTTACACCACTAAACCCCCCGTATTATCACATGTGATAAAAGTGTTCTTTATATGATATTATAATTCATCACATGTGATACTAAGTCGTAGAAGCAAACGACCTTTGGTGTGACCTAAGTCGCAGGACACGTCGTCTGCACTCCGCACACCACCGGTCCTCTCACGTGTATCATCACATGTGATAAGGGTGTTTCGCGTTCTCGTAAAATGTAGGTGTTCTCGTTTGAACCTTCCCCTTAATTTGGCTTTGTATATGCATAATTTTCAGAGAACAATGGAGGCATTCACAATTATCCTTTCGGCAACTCAACTCATCTACGTAGCTGCCCTTCACGGGTAAACGACACAATGGTTTCGAGGGGTTGCAACGAATCAGGGTGTCGAAGAGCGTTCACGTCTATAAATTTGTGCTTAAATTTATTCTTATTTTCTCATAATTCTTCACTTTTTTTGTATTTTTTCTTCACATTTTTACTCTAAGGGATTTGATACGATTGTGTTTATTATGAAATATAAGAAGATTGTAATAAATGTCTATTTTCATATTAAAAGCTAAAAAACACAATTTGCTTCTTTTTATCAGTCGATGGGTATTTGTTAATTATCTCTATATTATTAAATATTTAAATCAGTATTTGAACTCGTATTTTTTTTTTCTGACAAAGGCGACGTTTTTGGGTACGATGACGATAAACACGTCTCTAACAAATTCTCCAAAATGAAGAATAAGAATTCAAATCTCTAAAATCCTACATTTGAACTTCAAAAACTTCTCCAGATATCACAATATTGATTATATTATTAAAATATTTTGTACATTTAATAAAATTTAATTCTCTCTTCCAAACAATTTATCTCAAAGTTTTTTATTTGTGAAAACATAATAAAAAAATTATTTCACTTCTGACATGTAGTTCAGTTGACAAAGAGGTGGACCGATTTTGCTCAAATACAAAATATGTCACTACAACAAAATTAGGTTTATAGGACACTCTCAATTTTTAAGCGTCTTAATAGACCTCTTTATAGGACCAAAAAAATAAAGTGTCTTATCTAAAGACGTTGTAATAAATTTATATGACGTTTCTTGACGTCGTAATAAGTTTTTTAGAACATTTTTAATATAAAACGTCTCATTAGCAACTTTATACGACACTATTTAAAAAAATGTCCTATAAACACAAGTGTCCTGCAAAAAAATGAGTTTATAGGACACTTTCTCAAAAGTGTCCTATAAAGTTGCTAATGCGACACTTTGTATTAAAAATGTTCTAAAAAACTTGTTAAGTCGCTCAAAAGCATCATATAAACTTATTACAACACCTTTAGATAAGATGATTTATACTTTTGGTCCTATAAATTAAGTTTATAAGGCGGTCTATTGGGACGCTTAGAGATTAGGGGTATCCTATAAACTCAATTTTGTTGTAGTGTGTGTTCAATCCTTCCCCACGCTAGCCTCAGCCACTGAGTGAGCAAAAAAATGCCTAATACTGGTGTCTTTTGATACGGGTTCCATGTAGGACAGGTTGAGGTTTGCCGTTTATCAATTTTTGCCCAAATAATAAAAAATATACTTTTATTATGGTGATCATTTTTAGAGGGTTTTTCAAATTTGAAGATTCTTTTCTACTTTATCTGTTTTGTAAAATCTTTTGGAGGAAAACTTTCACAAAATCCCTAAAATCTCAAAAAATATATTTTAAAAAATCCGTTAAAATAAAAAATTAATTATCGAGACTTTAATTTATGATTAAACCTTTAAGGTAAATTAGTCAACTACAGTATTGGAAGTGTGCTACATGACATGTTCGACCCTCGTTAATCGTTATACATGACAAACAGATAAAAATCGTCAAGTTTCAATCAACATAGATTGATTAAACTTTTAAGGTTTTCTTGAATTACATCAACCAATAAATTTTTTTTTACAATTTTGTAATTAATACTATGTCTCCCGTTAAAACAAAGCAACGGGTTTTAACGTTCAATCAAGTATCAGATATGAATAATCAAGACAGCCCAATTTAAATTATCAATTATAGACAAGTAGACAGGGAGAAGAACAATTTAATCATCTTAATTGTTAATTACGATCCATATTTGTTACTTTGATATAATTACAGAAACATTGACGCAACATCCTCATGAATGTGCCATGTACTGGATGTTGGTTAAGGCTCAGAGGATGTAGTGGAAAATCTCATCTAACCAGGGTTCAAATCTAGGCACTATCAAAACCCTTATGGCTATGGAGTCCACTTGCAAGGAGTCCAGACCATTCATAGTCATCCGAGAGATTTAAAGTTTATCCGAGCAACTTTTTGATATAAAAATCCTTTTTATAAATAAAATCTCATTTTAATTTTATAAAAAATATTAAAAAAAATAACTAGAAATGAATAATAAAAAGGTAACTTAAACAAATAAAATCCAAAAGTTATTCTCAAGAATCAATCTAAAGATGGTGACCAAAAGCCTTAAACAAAGAATATACCATCTATAAAGAAACCCTAAAACCATTTCTTTTGAATCCCAAAAACCCTTTTGTGACAAATATGCATGACAAGAAAAGAATCTAAAACAACATTAATTAATGAAGGGGGTGTTTGGGATTGCTTATTAAAATAATTTATTGACTTATTTCAGTATGACACCGGTAATAAGCATTTTTGAGTGTTTGGATAAATAACTTATGTAACGGTGCCAAACCGATAATAAGAAGTTTTTGAATAAGTTAAACCATTCTAACTTATAATAAGTTGATAAGAACTTTTATAGAAAAAACATAAGTTGTTTCAAATAAGCAATCCCAAACACCCTCGAAGTCATCAAAATTAATGTTTGGTCTTTATTTAATGGCTAAATTAAACAATTCGATATCTGTTTATCGTCTTGATATATATTTATTCTCCATATTCAGTCATCTTATTTTAAGCAATATATATTAATTGATAAATAGAGAAAAAACAACCTCGTACAATCTCTCTTGTTTTTTTTTCAACGTCTTCAAATTAAATAAAACCGTAAATATGACTAACTGTCAAAGGGATTGGTGTCATATGTTATGTTGTTGAACATTGTGATTTTACGAGCAAACTATTAGAAGATGAATACATATGTTGATGATAATATTCAACGATATCCTTTTTCTATCAAACCATGCTTGCCTATTATGTGTCGGATATACTTTTGACATTTTTGAAGCATAGATCCGACTTAGTTCCTACAATTAGATTGTTCCATTGAACGTAAGTAATGAGATCTCCAGTCAGCTAGGTTGGATTTCCTTTGCATAAATTTTTTTCTTGATAACTTACTCACCAAGTAGCTATTTAACCCTTTGATTAGCAGATCCACAATATTATCCTTTGACTTAACTTGGTCAGTAAAGATAACATCAGTTAAAGTATTAATTGATTAATGTTATATCTTTGATGAATATGTCTAAACTTTGTATAATACGGGTTATGTCATCATGGAATGCAATGATTCAAGTTGTCTTCCATCTTTTTCATAATATGAGGTCAGACTCCATTACTAACCATGTGCGTTAAGAATTTCCATATTATATTGCACATCCAAGCGTAACCTCAAACCTACTGGTTGCTTGGAGACCTTATCATCTGAAGTACAATATGAATCGATAAACCCTTCATAGTTCACATAATATATAGAATAAGGCAATCTACTCTCAGAAGTTTGCCTGGGATATATCGTAACTTGAATTGTTTGAGTACCTACTCAATCTGCTAACATAATCTAAGGTGGCGTTTGGTTCACATAATGTTTTTATGAAATGAAATCTGTTGAAGGAGTTTGACTCTCAATGATTTGGAATGAAATGTTGTCAGGTTTGACCACATGTTTGGTTGACAGAATTGGAATAGAATTTGTTAAAGGAATTGGAGTTTGTCTGCTTGGTTCACATAATGTAGCTTCGGAATTGGAATGAAATTATGGTAAATGACTAAAATGCCCTTTCAAAAACAGATATAGCATCTAGAATTCAATATAGCAAATAGATGCAACATCTAGAAATCGAAACCATAGATACCACATATCGAGAGAGTAGGGTGAATAATAAATTGAACCATGCATCATCAAACAAATCGAACCATAAACAAATTGAAATGATTAATCAAACAAAAATTGAACCAACGAACTAAAATCGAACAAAAATTGAAGCATAAATTGAACAATAAATCACGTAAATCACATAGAAAGCTGATGGAGAAGACGAGAGAGTATTTTTCAAACTTGTGGTGAAGACGAAATCGAACCTGCGTGAAAGACGAAATCGAACCATGGTGCCACAATGGAGAAGACGAGATGTTCTCAAGAGTTTTTCCCAGATCGGTGAGAAAAGGTGGTGGTTGTGAAATATATTAGGGTATATTTGGGGTTAAAGGGTATTTTGGGAATTATGAACAGGTTAAATTCCATTATATTAAAATACCATGTATATCCTTGGAATGTCAAAATCCCTTATTCAAAAAATTTGATGGAATTTAAAGATTCCTTCTAGTAAAAAGAACGAACCAAACAAATGAATAGAATGTGGTCAAATGAATTCAACATTTCAATTCCATCAGATTCCTTTAAAATCTGTGAACCAAACGCCACATGTTGGATATTAGTCCACACATGTCCCACATAGGAACTAAAAGGAAAATTTCATGTGTTTATATGGCCTTACACACATGAATTATCAAGTTAGAGAGATGCCCAATAGAAAGATTGATATTGGACTTTGGTGTGGCATTACCCAATAGTAATGGTCAAAAGATGGGCCTTGGGCCTTGGGGCTCTTATGACCCGATTCGTCTCCCAGAAATCAGATACGATTTCTTTACACACAGAACTCTCTCTCTCAATATTTTTTCTCTATATATCGTTGCTTCATGGAACGTATTATCGATTAGATAGTTGTATCCTCAAGACGACGTTCGTTTACGAACGCACGATTGGGGGCGAAATTTCGTCTTAGGACACTGCTGTGGCAGGCCTCTATCTCTCGATCTTGGCATATAGAAAATTCATCGTAAAGGTTAGATTTTTACTAAATTTCTTGGTTAATTTTTATTTTCTAATTTGGAAGTGTAATTCTGTACTTCGTTGGATTGGTTCTAACACCACCTAAGTCGAATAAAGCTTGCATCAAGCTTTACACGTCTTCTAAGCATACTCATTAAGCAATGCCTTATCATCAATAAAGATGTTGGTGATACCATAACAACCACAATCACCACCAATGCGTTTAATATTAAAAGTAACATGACACTCAAACAATCAGGTACACATACATGTATCGATGAATTCATAAAGACATTATGTAATTTTGAATATTTCATACATGAGTGTTTTGTTGCTGACTTTCTAGCAGGTTTCTCATGGATTATTAGTAATATGTTCATTATGAACTCCACATGTGACATGACTCTCGCGTGGTCAACATGTTCATGTTTTAATTTGAGTTATAGCATTGGTTGGATATTTTGTGCCGAAGTGTCCCCGTATCTCGTCCACGTAGTGCGACTCC